CTACCCTGGCACTTTATTTCTGTCTGTGGACAACCCAGCCGCACAGCCAAGAGAGAGTAACAATTGATGTTTCTTCTATATGTGAACAAACTAAATTTGTCAAATGAAGCACTTTGCTGTTCTACGAGTGGTGTCGGACTGAGTCGTCATGTGAAATAAAGTACCACGTTAGCTACAAAGCTTATGTGAAACTCTCCCCAGTTCTTGTGATGGGAGGAGAGGAAGAATTATAGTGCTGTGACTGCCAATGGAGTGTCAAGGGTGTGTGCTTTGCTTTTGCTTTTTCTATTTCAAGGATGTTGTTAGTCATGTCTGTCTGCTTGAGTGAGTTTTGCCGACCGACCATGTAGCCTACTGGCGGTAATGTGGTGGTGGTGAGCACTGAGCAGCAGCAGACAGGGTTTGGGATGTTTGACCCATGATGTCATCGCTAAAGCATGTTTTCCTCTATAAGGCAATTCCAGCTGTCTCTTGGTTATTACAACAGATGTGAATGACTTGATCTTTCACTAATTGTATGTATATGTCTCCCTTTCAAAAGAGTTGTATAACCTCAGTGGTCTTTCCTGGTTAAATCAAGGTTAATTAAATGCCTGTACCATTAAAATAAAAAAAAAGCTGGGTTTTCCGCTGTCTCAGGAGCCGAGGGGAAAGCTGGGATGGCTGCCGTAGCAGATCCAGAGAGATCTACAGACCTGGAAAAGTTTGGGAAGGATCTGGAGAAAGCCCTGCCGCCATACGCACGACCCGTCTTCCTACGCTTCCTCAACGAGGTCAACAAGACAGGTGGGTTCAGTCTGGAGCTATGTTCCAATGATCTCTCCGTCCTCCCAAAGTGTGCATTTGTTCACTTCCCTTCACCGATTTGTAATGAAATGACTGGTATAAGAAATATGGTGGAAACTCCCACTAGCCCATGCCTCCAGCAATTCAATGCTTTTAGATTTGTGGGAAATTGTGAATGAGTGCATACTTCAGGAGAAAGGAGATAATATTGGGACGGACCCTGAGTGTGGTACACATACTGTACATACATTATACTGTATATGATCATTGTGTCCTCTCCTCAGGTGGAGGTTAGGGCCTTTATTCAAAAAGTGTCAGTACGAGTGCTGATCTAGGATCATGTCCACCCTGTCCATATAATCTTATTCATTATGATCTAAAAGGCAAAACTGACCCATCAGCACTTCAACTCTGAGACTATGTGAATACAGGCCCAGGAGTAGCCCCGTCTCTAAAACAGGAGGTTGGTGGCACCTTAATTGGGAAGGACGGGCTCGTGGTAATGGCTGGAGCGGAATGGGTGGAATGCATTCAAATACATCAAACACATGGTTTCCATGTGTTTATGCAATTCCATTAGCTCCGTTCCGGCCATTATTATGAGCCGTCCTCCCCTCAGCAGCCTCCACTGGTCTCTAATTCACCACTCTACCACCTCTCCTCTTCTCCCTCACTCTTCTCCTCCAGGCACCTATAAGTTCCAGAAGACAGAGATGCGGCGGGAGGGTTTTGACCCCAGCATGGTATCAAACAAACTGTACTTCCTTGACCCCAGCAGGGGGCGCTATGTGGAGCTGCACCAGAAGCTCTACAGCAGCATCATCTCAGGGAAGCAGAAACTGTAACTGTGAGATCTGATCTGATTACTCTTTGCCCCCCGCAGCCAATATCCCTAAACCACCCCTAGCCACCCCCCCACGCTCACACAGAAACACCCCTATACCTGATGTCACTCTTCCTCCCCCCAGGAAAACTCTAACTCCCACAACCCCCTTCTCCGCTCTCTCTAAGCCCACGCCCCGCGTTACCTCAGCAAGCAGATAGGGGCAGCTGGGTCTCATCTGGGACACATGACAAGCCAATCTGACACCATATCCCATGATACACCTAGAGCGACCTTTGCCCTTTGATCCATGAGGCACTCCCCCCCCCCCCCCCCCCCCCCCGACACTTCACCCCCCCCCAGAGCTTCACCTGACCTGAACCAAGAGGAGCGCACGCTGGAAGGACACAACTTGTTTGCTGAGAGGGGCATGTGGCATGTCTCCAGAATGCAAAAACATAATAACTTACTCCAAATCTTTAAAAAAAGACCTAGCTAGAGGAACATGAACATGGCACAATGAAGGAACTTGAATTGAACAAAGGAAACACTCCTATTGGTCTGTCGGTTTGTCTGTCTTATGTTGATGAGGTCACTCCGTCTGAGGCCCAACCTGCACATTGCCCAGTCAGTGACCAGTGGCTTCTGTTGTGACACAAAATGACCGATTGGTTTTAGTGGTGTGGAGTCTGCCCAGCCATGTTAGACATACAGTACAGAAAGCCTAGAGGCTGTATGTCAGTGGAGGGAGATTCACATGTGGTTGAAACTGGGATCCGGCATTGGCTGTGCAATAATCAGCCAGCCATAAGATGATCTGAGAAGAAGATATTGTATATATAATAAAAATATATTGAAATATGTCTGCATTACACCAAATATATTTAATTTGTAGACTAGTCTTTACATATTTAAAAAGAAACAATGATGTTTAACATCAAGTTCCTAATAAAATGCAAATTAAAATGCTAATCATGTTATGCTATGTCCATGATTGCGCTCGGCTTTCTCCTGATCTCCCCCCACTACTTTACGGGATTCTCCTCCCCTTCACCAACCAACCACCAGCCACTGGAACACAAAGAACTCTCACAGTTTCAAACAGGATTCTGAAAGTTCTAATTCTGGGGTAGAAGATTCTGATTCTGGGGGTAGAAGATTCTGATTCTGAATGTTCTGATTCTGATTAGATGGGGAGGGTTTCTGTCAGTATTGTGCAGGTTGGGCCTAAAGGGTTGGATTGGTCTTGTATGGCATAGTGGACATTTTAAAGCTGGACGAAGAGAGAGCTGAAGTGAAAAGCACCAACCTCGGTCTGTCTCTGTTGAGGACTCAATATGATGACAGCAATATTCTGGTGCTACAGAAGGAATTCAACTCTCTCTCAGACTATGGTGCAGCAAGCTGAACTATCGAAAAGAGTTTAGAGGAAAAGGTAAAGATAATTTTCCTCATCGTTGTTTGTTCTTCTTCTTCTTTCTCATCTGCTTCTTCTTACTTCTTTTCTTTTCTTCTTCTTCTCTTCTTCTCTTCTTTCTTCTCTATTTCTATTTTTCTTTTTTCTTTCTTCATTTTACTTCGTCTTAGGCTTTCTTTTTCATCTTCTAACTCATGAATGATCAACACAAACAGAGCACTGTGCCTTTACTGTGAGTTTACCAACTCAGATTCACAGGCCCTGTCCCATAACACCGTACTCCTTCACCTCTTACTCCCGTCTGTCCCATAGTCTCTCCCCTCAGTCTCTTCACCTCTCTCCACGTCCATAGTCTCTCCCCTCAGTCTCTTCCCTCTCCCCTACTGTCCTAGTCTCTCCCCTCAGTCTCTCTCTCTCTCTACTGTCCCATCGTCTCTCCATCAGTCTCTCCCATCCTACTGTCCAATCGTCTCTCCCTCAGTTTTCCCTCTCCCTACTGTCCCATCGTCTCCCCTCATCTCTTCCTCTCTCCCTACTGTCCCAGTTCTCCCCTCTCTTTCCCTCTCCCTACTGTCCATAGTCTCTCCCCCCAGTCTCTCCCCTAACTCCCTACTGTCCTAGTCTCTCCTCCAGTCTCTTTCCTCTCTCCCTACTGTCCCATAGTCTCTCCCATCATCTCTCTCTCTCCCTCTCTCCCTAGTCCCATATCTTCCCTCAGTCTCTTCCCCTCTCTCCCTACTGTCCCATAGTCTCTCTCCCTCCCCTCTCTCTCCCCTAATCCCTACTGTCCCTAGTCTCCTCTCCTCTCTTTCCTCTCTCCTACTGTCCCATAGTCTCTCCCATCAGTCTCTCCCCCTACTCCCTACTGTCCAAGTCTCTACCCCTCAGTTCTCCCTCTCCTATGTCCATAGTTTCCCACTCATCAGTTCTTCCCTCCCTAGACTACGTCCCATAGTCCTCTCCCTCAGTCTCTTCCCCTCTCTCCCTACTGCCCATAGTCCTTCCCCTCCTCGTCCCCTATCTCCCCCCCTCTGTCCCATATCTCTCCCCTCAGTCTCTTCTCTCTCTCCCTACTGTCCATCTCCTCTCCCCTCAGTCCTCTCCCTCTCTCTCGTCCCATCGCCCTCTCCCCTAGTCCCTTCATCTCTCCCTCTGTCCATCGTCTCTCATCTCATCTTTCCCTCTCCCTACTGTCCCATAGTCTCTCTCCCTCTCTCTTCCCTCTCTCCTACTGTCCCATAGTCCTCCCCAGTCTCTTCCCCTAATCTCCCCTCACTGTCCCATAGCTATTTCCCCATGTCACTTCCCATCTCCTCTCCACTGTCCCATAGTCTCTCCCTTCATCCCTCCTTCTCCCTACTGTCCCATAGTCTCTCCCCTCAGTCTCTTCCCTCTTCCCTACTGTCCCATAGTCTCTCCCTCAGTCTCTCTCCCTCTCTCCCACTGTCCCAATAGCCTCCCCTCATCCTCAGTCTCTTCCCTCTCTCCCTACTGTCCCTAGTCTCTCCCTCAGTCTCTCCTCCCTACTTCCCATATTCTCCATAGTCTCCTCCTACGTCATGTCTCCCTAGTCTCTTCCCTACTCTCCCTACTTCCCCATCTCTTCTCTCCCTACGTCATAGTCTCTCCTATCATCTCTCCTCCTCTATCATAGTCTCTCCATCTCCTCTCCCTCATCCTCTGTCCCATTCTCCCTCTGTCCCATCGTCTCTCCCCTCCAGTCTCTTCCCTGCTCTCCCTACTGTCCCATGTTCTCCCCTCAGTCCCTACTGTCCATAGTCCCTCTCCCTAGTCTCTTCCCTCCTCTCCCTACTTCCCATAGTCTCCCCCTCAGTCCTTCCCTCTCTCCCTACTGTCCCTAGTCTCTCCCTCAGTCCTCTCTCTCTCCCTACTGTCCCATAGTCTCTCCCCCTCAGTCTCTTCCCTCTCCCCTACTGTCCCATCGTCTCTCCCTCAGCTCTTCCTCTCTCCTACTTCCATAGTCCTCGTCCCTGTCTCTCCCCTCAGTCTCTTCCCTCTCTCCCTACTGTCCCATAGTCTCTCCCCTCAGTCTCTCCCTCTCTCCCTACTGTCCCATAGTCTCTCCCCTCAGTCTCTTCCCTCTCTCCCTACTGTCCCATAGTCTCTCCCCTCAGTCTCTTCCCTCTCTCCCTACTGTCCCATAGTCTCTCCCCATAGTCTCTCCCCTCTCTCCCTACTGTCCCATAGTCTCTCCCCTCAGTCTCTTCCCTCCTCCCTACTGTCCCATAGTCTCTCCCCTCAGTCTCTTCCCTCTCTCCCTACTGTCCCATCGTCTCTCCCCTCAGTCTCTTCTCTCTCTCCCTACTGTCCCATAGTCTCTCTCTCCCTCCGTCTCTTCCCTCTCTCCCTACTTCCCATCGTCTCTTCCCCTCAGTCTCTTCTCCTCCTCTTCCCTACTGTCCCATCAGCTCCCCCTCTCCCCGTCAGTCTCTCTCCCTCTCTCCCTACTGTCCCTCTCTCTCTCCCCTCAGTCTCTTCCCTCTCTCCCTACTGTCCCATAGTCTCTCCCCCTCAGTCTCTTCCCTCTCTCCTCTTCCAATTCCCTATCTTCCCTTTGTCTGTCTCCCCCTCAGTCTTTTTCCCTCTCTCCCTACTGTCCCATAGTCTCTCCCCTCAGTCTCTCCCTCTCTCCCTATTGTCCCATCGTCTCTCCCCTCAGTCTCTTTCTCTCTCTCCCTACTGTCCCATCGTCCTCCTCCCCTCGTCCTCCATTCCTCCCTCTCTCCCTACTGTCCCATCGTCTCTCTCCCCTCAGTCCTCTCTCCTCTCTCTCCCCTACTGTCCCATAGTCTCTCCCCTCAGTCTCTCCCCCTCTCTCCCTACTGTCCCATAGTCTCTCCCCTCAGTCTCTCCCTCTTCCCTCCTCTCCACTACTGTCCCATAGTCCTCTCCCCTCAGTCCTCTTCCCCTCTCTCCCTACTGTCCCATGTCCCTCTCCCCTCAGTCTCTCCTCCCTCTCTCCCTACTGTCCCATAGTCCTTCTCCCCCATCTCTTCCCCTCTCTCCCTACTGTCCCATAGTCTCTCCCCTCAGTCTCTTCCCTCTCTCCCTACTGTCCCATAGTCTCTCCCCTCAGTCTCTTCCCTCTCTCCCTACTGTCCCATAGTCTCTCCCCTCAGTCTCTCCCCTCTCTCCCTACTGTCCCATCGCACCCTATTCCCTCAATCTCTATCCTTACTTATTAATTCAACTCTCCATCATGTTATTCTGTTAGGCATGTCTCCCACCAAGTACCTCCCACTCTCACCCCACCCAGACACCTCTGTTTGATCCTTGCTTCTCTTCATATGGCTAGACATTTTCTGTCATGCTGTTATTCTCTCAGAGCACATAATGCGCTACTACTGTCACCACTCCAACAAGCGTCAGCGTACGTTATCTGTCTCTATGTCCTCTCAAAACAAACAAACAAATCATGAGACAGTTTGGTAAGCCAAATATCCTGTCTGTGTGAAGTCGATGGTGGAGACCGGGGGAGAATGATTCTCCTACAAAGCTGAGGATCATGGTTAGTGTAGTTTGCTATCTATCCAAGGTTCCTCCCCTTCGTGTCCTGTCTGGCGTGTCTCTGTCATTTTAGATATGCACTGCGATGATGAGGAAGAGGAATGATGACATTGCTCTCCAGCTCTACCCATCATTTTATGTATTTATTATTAGTGATGATCGTTTTGTTTCTCACAATGTTTAAAGAGGAAAAATGTTTGAAGAAGAAAAAAATGAGTGACCAATAATTATGTTGTAAAGATGAATATATACATTTTGGGGGTTATGTATGAGAACGCTCTTTGCTGCTTTTGATCCTGGGGTGTCATATGATAGTATGACCACAGGGTGGTGCATGACTGCGTAGCCCCAGAGGAATTTGAATGGGCATTGGACAATAGTCTGAAGTGGTTTCCTCTCCTTGTCTTCTTTCCTTCATCTGCACTGATATGAAAGGAGTGGAGTCAAGTGAAAAACAGCCATAGCCGTATTGCTTTCACCTATCCTGTTGTGTTGTTGTGTTGGGAGAGGGATCTATTTTAGACTATTGAGAACCGTACAGTACAGAGAATAGGCCTAGCTAGTAAACACATCCTAATTTCAGTGTCATCTTTAGTACTGCTATCTTATTCCTGTGACACTGAATATAGAGACATACTGTTGTGTGAGTGTCACAGACTCTCTGAGGTTATCAGTTTACTGTGTTTGGTCATGTCCAGAAACAACTCCCTAGCTCCTAGGAACTTGTGTAGAACTTACACACTAAGGGGTAAGAGGCTAGGAGTTGTTTCTGGACAGGGCCCATATGTCACAAACCAATGGGAGGTATTGTAATGTCTGAGGGACAGGGTGTTGGTCAGATCTTTAACCAGACGGAGGCACTGTTTCTCAGCAAAATCATCATGGCTACTGCCTACCATGGCCCCATGAAGCTCAGTTGGTAGAGCATGACGTTTGCAACGCCAGAGTTGTGGGTTTGTTTCCCACGGGGGGCCAGTATGAAAAATGTATGCACTCACTAACTGTAAGTCGCTCTGGATAAGAGCGTCTGCTAAATGACTAAAATGTAAATGTATTGAGATGCACCCCCTGTCTCCCCCCAGATGTGTTTCCATTCCCACTTTAAATCATATTTTTTTAAAGTATTAATTATTCCTTATTTTATTCTGCATTGACTGTGTCACAGCTATGCGTTGCGTTTGTTTGTTATTTTCTGTGTGTGAAATCAAAGCTTTAATGTATCAGAATTCTGGAAGTGAGTGAAGGGGCTCCACAAGTTTTTCTGCCTGTTAGACTGTTGACCAGCACCCAGACCTATGACAGCACCTGACCAATGGAGTGTGCCAAACTTCAGCCCCTCTACACAGTCTGCTGTGCTGAGGCCCTCTCTGTTTCATACCTGTCTTGCATTGGTTGTGTAAAGACACACACACACACACACAATGTGACACACACACAGACGAAAGTCGAAGGAGCGTCTATGGCAATATCAGAGTGTATTGTTTGGATAGCTACAATACAACCGCTTAAGATATAGGTTTAGTCCTACATTCCTCTAGAACTAGATTCCATTCCAATATGTCTCTTGTCTATATGTCCCCAGTCTCTTCTCACAGCTCTGCAGAGCTCCCTGAGTCTGGCGAGCGAGACTACTCTGTCCCCAGCAGAATAGAATATGGGGAAACTTGAGGTTAGTATGGATAATGGCCACGGGCTTACTTTATAAGCCATTACATTACATTTTACATTTGAGTCATTTAGCAGGCGCTCTTATCCAGAGCGACTTACAGTTAGTGAGTGCATACATTTTCATACATCAATAATATTGCTTTGCACTGTAACTTTGATGCGGCTATTTCTAAAGCCTTGTGGCCAGGCATGTACAGAGAATAGGCCTAGCTAGTAAACACATCCTAATTTCAGTGTCATCTTTAGTACTGCTATCTTATTCCTGTGACACTGAATATAGAGACATACTGTTGTGTGAGTGTCACAGACTCTCTGAGGTTATCAGTTTACTGTGTTTGGTCATGTCCAGAAACAACTCCCTAGCTCCTAGGAACTTGTGTAGAACTTACACACTAAGGGGTAAGAGGCTAGGAGTTGTTTCTGGACAGGGCCCATATGTCACAAACCAATGGGAGGTATTGTAATGTCTGAGGGACAGGGTGTTGGTCAGATCTTTAACCAGAGGGAGGCGCTGTTTCCCAGCAAAATCATCATGGCTACTGCCTACCATACCATTGAACCCTCATTCCATAGGAGTAAACATTATTATTATGTCCCACTAACAAACTGTATCAAAGAATGTCTGATTTATTTATAAAAGATGTTGTTGAAATATCAATGCATTGCTCTTCTATAGTACTGGGGTACTGGGATGATGGCTAATGAATAAAAACAGATTGATGAATGGAAACGTACTTTGTTTACCTTGGTTGTATAACAACATGTTTATCTATCCACTGTATATTGTGTTGAAGTGAAGAGTCTCAAATGGTAAATAAATAATGGTCTATACCGTGCTTTTTTATGATTGGTTCATATCAGTTGTATGGTATGCTTGAGCCAATCATGAGACCCGATGATACTGACAAACAGGAAGTAGGATGTAGAACTAGAAGCCTGCATTGAATATGGTAGGTGATTTTTGGAGTCATGACATAGATGTAGTATGTCTGAAAGTGGGTGTGTAAACAGAAGTGGGAGGATCAACAGAAGTGGATGAATGGAAAGCGAATCAGCTAATTGGGCAGGTTTGTTGCCACTCAATACTGTTTTGCGGGGCTGATTGGGCTACACTACGACTCGATTGTGGACAACTGTAGCATTTTAGCTAAGCCTAACCCTTTTTCTAACCTTAACCTCATTCTCCTAACCTGCCATATTAATTATCCTAACCTGCTACACATTTTAGCTAAGCCTAACCCTAACCCTTTTCCTTACCTTAAACTCATTCTCCTAACCTGTCACGTTAATTATCCTAACCTGCTACGCATTTTAGCTAAGCCTAACCCTAACCCTAACCCTTTTCCTAACCTTAACCTCATTAACCACATTAATTATCCTAACCTGCTACGCATTTTAGCTAAGCCTAACCCTAACCCTAACCCTTTTCCTAACCTTAACCTCATTAACCACATTAATTCTCCTAACCTGCTACGTTAGTTCTCTTACCCTGCGATGTAAGCTGACCCGCGGTACACCTGGCTATGGCCGGTCAAACCAATAATGGAGTGCTGAGGTTACACCCATCGCTGTTGATCCATCCACTGATGTTACACCCATCGCTGTTGATCCACCCACTTCTTTTGCAATGCCCACTTTCAGACACACTCCAAGTATACAGTTAACCATACTTGGATTTTTGTCTCCTCGTTCTCAATGCACTAGCACTTGATCTGTCAAGAAAACTGCATCAGACACCTAAACCTATCATGGGGTAGTGAGGATGCTGATGTCCTCTTGACTATAAAAGACTAGCTGGCTGTAAATCATGCATACAAAAACATTGGCAATGGTGAATCCATATTAATAAAAAGGATTTAAATTGTGTTTTTTTGTTTTTCTTTAAATTGTAAAAATACATGTTTTGCTCTTCTGAAGGTGTTGCCCAGTGTATGACTCAGTCAAAAACAAAGGCTTCTTGGTTGGTAAAAGGACAGTGAATTTAATAATTGTTTAAAAAAGCACAAATGTCCCTCTGTCTGAATCCTACGACTGATGTATTTGAAGCATGGTCTTCTCTGCTCTCCTCTCAGAATTGTAATAATGAATTTTCAGGAATTCCATGTCCTTCAGGAATGCTCACGAAGGATTCAGGAACCAACTTGTCTATCGTTCCCTCTCTACCTGCTGCAGTTGAGCACTGTCCTCAGCGTCTGATCAATGAAGTGAAGAGTCTCAAATGGCCAGTAAATACCATATACCATGTTATGTGGTATGCTTGAGCCAATCATGAAACCCGATGCTACTGAGAAAAGGAAGTAGGATGTAGAACTAGAAACCTGCATTGAATATGGTCAGAGAAGGTCAGAGCAGCGGTACCTCTGGCTTTCTCATCCAATGGGTTTTGAGAAGGAGGCGAGGAGTATGCAATTGACATTCTCTCTTTGTCTCCTTGTTTTCTCAATGCCTTCTAGCCCTTGATCTGTCAAGAGAACTGCATCAGACATCTAAACATATCATGGGGTAGTGAGTATTGTGTGTGGAGAGCAAAACACCTCTCTCCTATCTGATGATTGATTGGGGCATAATTCTGTATCTCTCTGGTCTCAGAAAGAATCAGTCCAGTTTAGTAAGGGATAATCAACGAGGGGCTATGCGTTCTCTGGAAAATAATGAATGACTTGGAAGGTGATTTCCACAACGCGCTAACGGAGTGGAACTGACCTTCCATAGAGTAGCTTTATTTTCCAGAGAATGCATAGAGCCCCGAGTTGATTATCCTTTTACACCATGGCTATAATTTAACAAATTTACCGCTAGAAATGTGTTCATTTGCCGGTAGAAATGTGTTAAACTTCCACTGAAGTAGCTAACAAGTTTACTAGATAGCGACAGTAGATGCCTTGGTAACCAAACAAACAGACTTGCTAGTTTAGCTTGCATTCCTAGCTTGCTATTATGAAAATCGAATTCAACAATGTTTTCAATTTGACTTTTGCTTTCAAACGTAGCTCAAACATAAAACATGTAAGAACTATAGCCATTAAATTCTACTGTGCAAATATACCATGCGTTATAGAGAAATAATGCACGCTCTAGAATGGCCTTCAAGCCAATCAGAAGAAGGTGGTGTGGTGGGTGTTACTTTGTTTGACAGGCTGGACACTCCTAGCATGTACATAGTATGTAGAGGTGGTGTGTGAGGTGAGCGCTGTCTGCGACACACTGATATCCTCTTCTCTGTAAAAGACTGTCTGTAAAGCATGCATACAAAAACATTGGCAATGGCAAATTTCAGCCTGTTTTGGTGGGATGGAGTTTTGGCCTGCCTGGTGACATCCCCAGGTGGTAAATTAGTTAATAAAAATAAAAAAGAGAGTTCCAAACCTCTCTGCCAATAGCAGCTAGTTTTCCCATTCCAACTCAGACCACTCCCAGACAGTCCTAGCTAAATTCTTGCTTGAGAAATTGCTTTTTGTTAAGAAGCTATTTTTGTTTCTTTTTGACCATTTTAATTGAAAACAATCACAGTAAGGTACTTAATTGTTACCCAGAAATGATTTGATATTGAGATAAAAAATGTCTGCATTGGACCTTTAAATTGTTTTCTTTATTGTTTTTCTTTAATATTGTAAAATTACATTTTGCTCTTCTGACAGTGTTTCCCAATGTATGACTCAATGTATGAGCAAAAACAAAGGCTTCTTGGTAGGTAAAAGGACAAACAGTGAATTGAATAATTGTTTAAAAAAGCACAAATGTCCCTTGTCTGAATCCTATGACTGATGTATTTGAAGAATGGTATTTGAAGCACTCCTCTGTCCTGTCAGAACTGTAGTAAAGAATTTTCAAGAATTCAATGTCCTTCAGGAATGCTCACCAAGGATTCAGGAGCCAACTTGTCTATCATGCTGCGTTCACGTGCTTGTCGGAACTCCGAAATGTCCAACTTGCTAACTGGTTGAACGCGACACGTGTATAACTACAACAAGTTAGCAAGTCAGAAATGTGTGAGTTTTCTAGTTCCGACTAGCACGTGAACGCGGTATCATTCCCTCTCTGCCTGCTGCAGCTGAGCACTGTCTTCGGCTTTTGATCAATGATTGGCTGGGCAAATAATGGGCGGGCTTGAGGAAAGAATTGGCATTGCCACTCTAGTCCAGCTCCAGTCCAGCTTTTCACTCTTTTACAGTTCAGTTTGGTTCCAGAACAGGGTACTTTTTTTCTCTCCTCCTCTCTCTCTTTCCTTCTCTTCCTCTGCAACCAACCATGAGGATCACCTTGGTGACAGTGGCCACGGCGATGGTGTGTTTGATGGGTGTCTATGGAGACGTGCAGCCTCAGAGAGACTTCGACCTGCAGAGGGTGAGACCAGAATCAAATCAAATCAAAGTTTATTTATTGCGTACACAGAGCGCAATGTTAAAGCAGGTGCAGCGAAACACTTGTGTTTCTATCTCCAGCAGTGCAGTAAATATCTAACAGTACAATACTAATACACAAATAATCAACAACAAAAAAAGAAACAAGAAATTAAGAAATATCGGAATGAGCAATGTCAGAGTCCATGCTGCTTCCTTCTTTCAACTGCTTGCTTTCATTACCCAGGATGCATCAGTGAAGCTCCGCTTCCACAAGACATTTCACATCACACTATCTGTGTAATCTAATCTTTGAGGGAAATAATTAAGCTAATTTTAAGGGGGCAATAGTAAACCCTCTTGGCCTACTGTTGTCTTGGTTTTTCATTAGGTGGCACATAACTTTAAAGGGCAACTACACTTCCTGATTTGGTTTTAGATTTGGTTCATTAAGAAATGCTGGCGGCCATGTCTGAATTAAAACGTGAGTTGGTTTCGGGGTGTGGTTTGATGTGATGTCTCGTGTGTGTGTTGGTAGGTGGGAAGAGTTAGCCAAATTATTTAGCCAATTAGCTTCAGCCAGCTGGTGTGCGAGCGTGGCAAAATTGGTTTGACTTTGGATAGCCTATATACGGGGCTAGTTACGGGCCGTCAATAAATTACACAATATAAATTAGTCAACATTTTCATGATGCACACCTTTGAGTTTTCTCATTAAATGCTTTCAATATTTGTATATTAATTTCTACAATTTTATAATTGGTTTGAGGTTTTAAGTCATTGAAATGTTTACATATTGTCCCACAGGCATTACAATTGGGTCGCGTACAGCTGCACTCCGAATTGATGATTACTTGTGTGCTGCCAGCTGGGGGCATGTGGGCAGGATTGAGACAAACCCAACCTTCATTTATGTTGTGATTCAATCACGACCACAAGTCTCACAAAACTCTGTTTTGGACAACACTGAATTTATGATCAAAATTATCCTATTTACACTTTTTAGTCAATTTTGACAGTAGAATAAATGTTTCTGACTCATATCGATGCCACATAGGCTGTTTTCTAAATAAGAAATTGTTTTTTAGGGGCAGTTGCTCTTTAACCTCGACCTCTAGTACGTGAGTCTATTATTTAAATAAGTCCTAGACATGTTCCCCGACCCCACATTAGGACAAAGGCTGAGGCTGAACTCAAAGCAAACAGTGCTAGGGGTCAAAGGTCAGGTGGACAGCAGGGTTGCAACACAGATAGAATGACTGGCAATGCGTGCCAAGTTCCCTCGGCCCATGGGGTGGACACACTGGACAGACACACACATAGAACTAACTGCCTTATGATATAAATATCTAAATGACTTAGAGACTCTTCCTGTTGTTCACACTGTTAAAAGAGACAAATTGCTGCTGCCCTATGTACATAGACATGGAACACTGGCCACTTTAACAATGGGACACTGGTCACTTTAATAATGTTTACATACTGTTTTACCCATTTCATATGCATATACTGTATTCTAGTCAAGGCCATCCTATTCAACTATTGCTGTACATATGCTATTCTATCCACGTATTCTTCAGGTAGGTTTGACTCCCTATGTGTAGCCTACTGTCTGTATGTTATGTTCAGTTTGCACAAAATGCCGTATGACTGGGTAGGGTTACTCTTATAGAGTAGCTCTGATAGAGCAACTCCAGTGGGTTTGACTCCCTCTGTGTGTTTTTTATTTATTTAACCTGTATTTAGGCAGGGAAGTCCCGTTGAGACCCATGTCTCTTTTGTAAGGGAGCCCTGCATCACAAAAGCCGCAAACAATACAAACTGTACTGTCTGCGTGTTGGCCTGGTGTATGACTCTCAAGGCTTAGGTAGGGCTCTGGTAGAGCCACTCTGGTAGGTTGACTTGTAGGTTTGACTCTGTCTACAGTGCATTCGGAAAGTATTCAGACCCCGTGACTTTTTCCACATGTTGTTACGTTACAGCCTTATTCATCAATCTACACACACTACCCCATAATGACAAAGCGAAAACGTTTTTTTAGACATTTTTGCACATTTATTAAAATTAAAAACTGATATCACATTTACACAAGTATTCAGACCCTTTACTCAGTATTCGTTGAAGCACCTTTGGCAGCGATTACAGCCTCGAGTCTTCTTGGGTATGACACTACAAGCTTGGCACACCTGTATTTGGGGAGTTTCTCCCATTCTTCTCTGCAGATCCTCTCAAGCTTTGTCAGGTTGGATGGGGAGCGTCGCTGCACAGCTATTTTCAGGTCTCTCCAGACATGTTAGATCGGGTTCAAGTCCGGGCTCTGGCTGGGCCACTCAAGGACATTCAGAAACTTGTCCCGAAGCCACTCCTGCATTGTCTGTGTGCTTAGGGGCTTTGTCCAGTCTGAGGTCCTGAGCGCTCTGGAGCAGGTTTTCATCAAGGATCTCTCTGTACTTTGCTCCGTTCATCTTTCCCTCGATCCTGACTAGTCTCCCAGTCCCTGCCGCTGAAAAACAACCCCACAGCATGATGCTGCCACCACCATGCTTCACCGTAGGGATGGTGCCAGGTTCCCTCCATACGTAACGCTTGGCATTCAGGCCAAAGAGTTCAATCTTGGTTTCATCAGACCAGAGAATCTTGTTTCTCATGGTCTGAGATTCCTTTAGGTGTCTTTTGGCAAACTCCAAGCGGGCTGTCATGTGCCTTTTACTGAGGAGTGGCTTCCGTCTGGCCACTCTACCATAAAGGCCTGATTGGTGGAGTGCTGCAGAGATGGCTGTCCTTCTGGAAGGTTCTCCCATCTCCATAGAGAAACTCTGGAGCTCTGTCAGAGTGACCATCGAGTTCTTGGTCACCTCCCTGACCACCTGAGCAAGGCCCTTCTCCCCCGATTGCTCAGTTTGGCCGGGCGGCCAGCTCTAGGAAGAGTCTTGGTGGTTCCAAACGTCTTCCATTTAAGAATGATGGAGGCCACTTTGTTCTTGGGGACCTTCAATGCTGCAGAAATGTTTTGGTACCCTTCCCCAAATATGTGCCTCGACACAATCCTGTCTCTGAGCTCTACAGACAATTATTTTGACCTCATGGCTTTGTTTTTGCTCTGACATGCACTGTCAACTGTGGGACCTTATATAGACAGGTGTGTGCCTTTTCAAATCATGTCCAATCAATTGAATGTTCCACAGTAGGACTCCAATCAAGTTGTGGAAACATCTCAAGGATGATCAATGGAAACAGGATGCACCTGAGCTCAATTTCGAGTCTCATAACAAAGGGTCTGAATACTTTTGTAAATAAGGTATTTCTGTTTTTATTTTTAATTTTTTTTAGAATAAGGCTGTAACGCAACAAAATGTGGAAAATGTCAAGGGGTCTGAATACTTTCCAAATGCACTGTATTTGTTCAGTTTGCAGGGATGTGGTACTGTGTGGGCCTGGCTTATGACTCCCCAGGCTTCAACTCCTACAGATATAGTACCCTTTCTACCCTCTCTGTCAATCTGTTTTATCTTTATCTAGGTTTCTCTATGGTTTCTACTCTCTCTGTCTGTGTATTCAGTTTGCAGGGAAGTGGTACCGTGTGGGCCTGGCGTATGACTCCCCAGGGTTCACTGCCCTATACAGAGACAAGCTGAGAGTGTCCATGGGCATCCTGAATCCACAGACCAACGGCAATGTCAACCTCACCATGTGGACCCAGAGGTGGGCAGGAACACATAATTAAATACAACACTAGAATGAACATTGGCATCCTGGCAAAATAACTACAGGACAGACATCTTGATCAGGTCATTGAAAATGTACTAAAAATGGGCATGCACATTCATATCATATGTTATTTTTTGCTTGTGTGAAGATCGTCAGGTTGCCGCAGTAAGTTTTACACGTACGAGAAGACAGCGATACCTGGCGCCTTCACCTATTTCAGCACCCGTGAGTCTTCTGTCTGCCAGCACTAATGCAATGCATCCAAATAACAAACCAGCAAAACTGTACTGCAGGGGTCTTCAACAGGTGGCAAAGTTCGAGCCCACAGGTGATTTCTGAGCAATTTCTTTTATAAAAATCAACTCAATGTGATTTTAATTTAGGAAATATCTTCCCAAGTATTCCCACACATAAATAGAGAGACATATGTGATGGTATCACAATGTAATCAAGGTTTGAAATTATTATGTTTTTGTCAAATTCTATATCTGTTTGGGATCTTGCGGTCAATCTGCAGTGTACAATTGATTTATAATTATTTTTCTGCACCCCGACCATCCGCTCAAGACAAAATCATCCCACAGCTGAATGTAGTTGGGGACCCCTGCTGTACAGAGCTGGTGATCTTTGAGTTGGTATTGTAAGTCGTTAAAAAATATATATATATATATTTGTGTTTTTCCAGGCCATAACAAAGTGAAGGACATCACGGTAGTGGAGACCAACTATAATGAATATGCACTGGTCCTGAAGCACAAGAAGATGGACAGAGAGTACACACAGGTGGCCCTCTATGGTAAGTCTGCTCTTCAGGTAGAGGTGTGACCGACCAGGTTTAAACCTGGGTCTCCCGTGCACCAAAAGACTGTGCTAGCCCACTGAGATTAAGTCTAGGCCCAAGATTTTGGCAATTAGGCCGTTTTTTCTACTTACCCAGAGTCAGATGAACTCATGGATACATTCTGTATGTCTCTACGTGCAGTTTGAAGATCATTTAACTTAGCTTATTGTTAGCTTAGCGCAATGACTGGAGGGCAAGGTTCACCTAACCAACTATGTTATGTAGGCTTAGAATGGGGCAATATGCTCATATACCAGGCAGATCTCTCAAGAGTGAATTTGAAATTGAACGTCTATCTATGTACTGAGGACGTTAAAAAAAATGCCTTCAAAACCGGCCACTAGGGGCAACTGTGAGCACTATTACCATCAAGTAGGCTTGGGTTTTGCCAGGGCGTTGTCGACGAGGGTGGCGGATGAGCGTAATCCCATGACTTCAGATAGATGTAATCCCATGACTCCAGATCAGAAGGTCAGGTGTTCAATCCCAGTATTGGACACTCGTATTTATTACAAAATGTTTAACCCTTACCTTAACCATTCGGAATGAGTGCCTAAACTTATTGTTTTAACCCTATCCAAAACCTTAACCCTTAACCTTAACTTCGAAATTTGACATTTGGAGCAACTTCAAAATTGGACGTTTGGAGAAACGGAACAATGCTGAGCAGGAGGAGTCAACTCAGAGTGTCAAAAACACTTTCAAATTTGACATTTGGAAAAACATGGATAAATGTCTAATTCTGGAGTGAGACTGTACATTGTATTTGTGGAAATATATATTTGCTTCTATTAAATGTTGCCATTCGCCTGTATGCCTGCAGGTCGTTCTCAGAAGGTGAAGAATGATGTGATTCAGAAGTTTAGAGATTTCGCCACATCTCGTGGATTTCCTAAGGACGCCATTCTGACCCCACCACCTGCAGGTAGTAGCCTAAGTATGGAGACACACACACATACACACAGTCCCTACATTTCTCGTCTCTAAGCTGTACGACTGAAAGCAGACAGTCTTGTGTGTATCACAACGTTGTTTTGCTCTTTGTTGTTTACAGAGAACTGTCCTCCCGCTGGACGCTAGGTGAGTCAATGGACATCCTTTCTACAGACATGTTGTTGATAACTGACTACAATGACTGGAACACCTGATATTTGAATGAACTGTCGGTTTTGTTTTTGTGTTCTCCTTCAGATCAGAACAACATCATGATTGATTTGCTTCGCCTTACCAGTTTCCCAGCACTTATTAGACATTCGTCTTTCCATTGGAGTACAGCATCAGGATTTGCTTCACCTTTACACCATACGTTTCACTGTTCAACAACAGAACTTCATCACGCTTTACCGCACACGTGGTAAATAGTATAACAACTAATGATAGATGCACTTTTAGACACCCCATCTTATTTTATTATCTATATCCTCTCTGATGTCTGTCTGTCTCTTGTCCCCTCAGTACAACGGACTGTTACATTCGTTTTCCATTCTGAATCCGATAAACAAGGGACATCATTGTATTGTGTAACGCTGCTATGGCTGAATAAATGCTAGTGTTCCTCTGTCTATGGTGCTATGTGGTGTCTGTGACCTCTGTCTTTTTCCCTGCCTGTTGGATCGCAGCCCTCAGCGCATAAGAGTGTTAGAGCGATTGGAGAGATAGAGAGATATATAGAATTGGAGAGACAGACAAAGATAGAATAGGAGACAGGGAGAGAGATAAACATAATTGGAGACAGTGAGATAAAATTGAAGAGCTGGAGAGAGAATTGGAGAGAGAGAGAGAGATAGAAAAGGAGAGAGAGATAATTGGAGAGAATGAGAGATAGAGACAGGATACAGAAGAAACTTCAGTCTCTTTCAGGTTTGGGCGACATATATTTAGAGCATTGTTCAACACATAGTAGACCCAGATTTACATTTCTGTCATGTTCCACTGCTGCTTGGGACATCGATCAATCAGAGGGGGCCGATCAGGAGTCAGAACCCAATAATCAATATTGTTATTCATGGAGATAGTGTGTGTGTGTGTGTTGGCATGGTAGTGTGTTTATCTGAGCAACTCATGTTGATACCACATACATAACATGTTACATGTTTTTGTGATGAAGAACTTTCAGAACACTAAGGTAACTATGGGTTTCCGCAGGGTTCAGTCCTTGGGCAATTATTGTTTTCGCTATACATGCTACAGCTCTGTGGTGCTGAAATGTAATGATTTTTTCCCCTGTTAAATTCCACTTTGATGTCCAATGTTTCAGAGAAAGGAACAAACAGACAGATTAGGAGAACTTTGCTCTATTTACTGTTTGTTTTCTGCTGGAGTTTGAGGGGGTACAGGAAGGGGTAAATACATATGGGTCAATGCTCTCTGGGTTGCTAGTCTAGTCCGGTGGAGGGGTCAGAGGTGGAGGGATGGAGGGGTGGGTGGGTGGTATCTCTCAGCAGATCCAGGAGCTCAGAGGAACCTCAGTCGGCGGTTCGTATCGGAGACAAACAGACAGACAGAATGCAGCAGGCTGTCATACTTGTGGTCCTCTTGGTCCTGGTGGGCCTCCTCCATGGGGTACCAGTGCTTCCCGAACCTCTCTTCCCCACACAGGAGAACTTTGACCTGAGCAAGGTAAGAGTTAGTCTCTTAGCCATCGAGGTTGCCCTTTCTCATAGCCTTCCCAAGGAGGTTACTCTGTCTCTCTTGCTTTCTCACAAATATTCTTCAATAGCATAGCCATATTGGTTAAAACATTTTGTATACTGGATGGGTAATAGTCTGATTCAGTTGAGAGGTCAAAATGTGTTTGCTTTTGATCAGCTTGTATGGTCAAAAGTGTTTCTATGGGTGCCTGTTAACATCTGTAAATACTGTAAATACTGCATATTCCCAATACAGCATTGTTGGTCTGTAAAAAACTAATCTTGGAACCCAGAACCAAATTATGTATGTCATGAGTGTTTTGGTTAATCATGCCACATGTCCTGGATTTTAACCTTTATTTTAAGCCTTTTACAGAAATTAGAATTAGACCAAAAATTAAAGCAATCATTTTTCAGAGGATAACAAGAAAGGGGACAGTTTGATGAAAAAGCTTTAAATAAATGTTAACATCCAGGTCATGTGACATGATTAACCAAAACACAGGGCCTAGTCATGAGAGACTAGTAGTTCATACACAGTTAGTTCTCTCTCTGTCTGTCATAACTCTCTCTCTCTCTTCATGGGTCAGTTCATGGGTAAGTGGCATGATATTGCGGTAGCATCCACCTGTCCCTGGATGCAGCGCCACAGAGGAGACTCAGCTATCGGCACACTGGAGCTGCAGGCCGGGGTCACTGAAGGCAAAGTCAGCATGAAACGCAGCATGAAAAAGTGAGGTTACACACACACACACACACAGACATATGCGTGTGTCTCTGAACTGTCCCTAATAATGCCACTGGATTCACTATAGATTAACTAAATATATTATGTGGTGTGTGTGTGTGTGTGTGTGTGTGTGTGTGTGTGTGTGTGTGTGTGTGTGTGTGTGTGTGTGTGTGTGTGTGTGTGTGTGTGTGTGTGTGTGTGTGTGTGTGTGTGTGTGTGTGTGTGTGTGTGTGTGTGTGTGTGTGTGTGTGTGTGTGTGTGTGTGCGCGCGCGTGCGCGTGTGTAGGCACGGGACATGTAAGCAGATCTCTGGTGATTATGAGATAACAGACACACCTGGAAGATTCACCTACCACATTGCCAGTGAGTCTTTAGTGTCTGTTCATACCCTGAATCCCAAATCAAGCCCTAGCCCTTACCTCCTAGGCACTTGTAGATCTGAAAAAATTGGGTAGGTGTAAGTAATATGGTGATAGATCCATTGTCCCCTCTGATAGGCCAGACAGAATTGCAGCCATATTGCTTACACCGATCTAATACTCTCAGACTGAGAGGTAAGGGCTAGGGATAGATTCTTTTTTTATACCACTGTCTCACCAACCATATTTCTGAAGTCAAAGATGACAGGTCATTGACAGTATGTACTGTATGTTTGTGTTCTCCTCCATGCAGAGTGGGGGGCTGATGTTGATGCCTATGTGGTTCACACTAACTATGATGAGTACGCCATCGTCATGTTAAGCAAACAGAAGACAGGTGGTGAGAAGACCAAGTCCGCCAAGCTATACAGTGAGTGGCACTACTAATAGGGAGCAGGTAGCCTAGCAGTCAGTGTTGGGCCAGTAATTGAAAGGTCGCTGGTACAAATACCCAAGCAGACCAGGTAATAAATTGGTCGATGTTCCCTTGACTTAACCCAGATTTGCTCCAGGGGTGCCGGACTTCTGTGGTTGACCCTGTAAACAACACATTTAACTGCACATATCCGGCGTTTGTGACAATAAAACATGTTTATATTTAATTTTTACAAATGCATCTACATCACACAACACCACTGAGACAATGGGCGAATTCGATTATGCTGAGCCACAAGGCACCAGCAAAGGCTCATCACGTCATCCGGGCAAAGGACCGTCACGTCATCCGGGCAAAGGACCGTCACGTCATCCGGGCAAAGGACCGTCAGGTCATCCGGCGAAAGCGGGGAGGGAGGTGCGCCCTTCTCAAATTTAACCGTAATCTGTGCCACTCTGTCATTTTTTCAACAAGGCAGCATGGTGCATCGTCCAGAAACACGTACAGTGGGGAGAACAAGTATTTGATACACTGCCGATTTTGCAGGTTTTCCTACTTACAAAGCATGTAGAGGTCTGTCATTTTTATCATAGGTACACTTCAACTGTGAGAGACTGAATCTAAAACAAAAATCCATAAAATCACATTGTATGATTTTTAAGTAATTAATTTGCATTTTATTGCATGACATAAGTATTTGATCACCTACCAACCAGTAAGAATTCCAGCTCTCACAGACCTGTTAGTTTTTCTTTAAGAAGCCCTCCTGTTCTCCCCTCATTACCTGTATTAACTGCAACTGTTTGAACTCGTTACCTGTATAAAAGACATCTGTCCACTCACTCAATCAAACAGACTCCAACCTCTCCACAATGGCCAAGACCAGAGAGCTGTGTAAGGACATCAGGGATACAATTGTAGACCTGCACAAGGCTGGGATGGGCTACATGACAATAGGCAAGTAGCTTGGTGAGAAGGCAACAACTGTTGGCGCAATTATTAGAAAATGGAAGAAGTTCAAGATGACGGTCAATCGACTCGGTCTGGGGCTCCATGCAAGATCTCACCTCGTGGGGCATCAATGATCATGAGGAAGGTGAGGGATCAGCCCAGAACTACACGGAAGGACCTGGTCAATGACCTGAAGAGAGCTGGGACCACAGTCTCAAAGAAAACCATTAGTAACACACTACGCCGTCATGGATTAAAATCCTGCAGCGCACGCAAGGTCCCCCTGCTCAAGCCAGCGCATGTCCAGGCCCGTCTGAAGTTTGCCAATGACCATCTGGATGATCCAGAGGAGGAATGGGAGAAGGTCATGTGGTCTGATGAGACACAAATATAGCTTTTTGGTCTAAACTCCACTCGCTGTGTTTGGAGGAAGAAGAAGGATGAGTACAATCCCAAGAACACCATCCCAACCGTGAAGCATGGAGGTGGAAACATCATTCTTTGGGGATGCTTTTCTGCAAAGGGGACAGGACGACTGCACCGTATTGAGGGGAGGATGGATGGGGCCATGTATCGCGAGATCTTGGCCAACAACCTCCTTCCCTCAGTAAGAGCATTGAAGATGGGTCGTGGCTGGGTCTTCCAGCATGACAACTACCCGAAACACACAGCCAGGGCAACTAAGGAGTGGCTCCGTAAGAAGCATCTCAAGGTCCTGGAGTGGCCTAGCCAGTCTCCAGACCTGAACCCAATAGAAAATCTTTGGAGGGAGCTGAAAGTCCGTATTGCCCAGCGACAGCCCCGAAACCTGAAGGATCTGGAGAAGGTCTGTATGGAGGAGTGGGCCAAAATCCCTGCTGCAGTGTGTGCAAACCTGGTCAAGACCTACAGGAAACGTATGATCTCTGTAATTGCAAACAAAGGTTTATGTACCAAATATTAAGTTCTGCTTTTCTGATGTATCAAATACTTATGTCATGCAATAAAATGCAAATTAATTACTTAAAAATCATACAATGTGATTTTCTGGATTTTTGTTTTAGATTCCGTCTCTCACAGTTGAAGTGTACCTATGATAAAAATTACAGACCTCTACATGCTTTGTAAGTAGGAAAACCTGCAAAATCGGCAGTGTATCAAATACTTGTTCTCCCCACTGTACAACATCTCTTTTCCCTAAGTAAATGTCATTGGGAAGGCAGATAGTGTTTCTATCAAAAGCAATCACTTTTGCATGGGAAATCACAAAATCCTACTAATTACTACCGTGCTTAACTACGTCACTTTTGTTTTGAGCCGACTTCGCCGTGGCCTTTGAACAGGGCACCTGGCTCACACCCGGGAGGTAGCCCGGTTCAAAATCTAAATCAATCAACTTTCAGCCGATGCAAAACACGCCTACACGTGCGCCTAGGCGAGATTAATCAAACCCCTTTATTAGCCTGGTTCCAGATCTGTTTGTGCCATCATGCCAACTCCTATGGTGGTCGTTGTCATGCCTACTCGAAATTGTGTTGTAGATATTGGATGGGATTAACAGTAGACGGTGGATCTATTTTTTTTCTGACATTTAAAAATGCATTTCCTGCAATTCTACACAGTTTGGCATGACTTATTATGACCCTCTGGAGGGGTATTTTGAAAACACAGTATAAGTATAAGTGGGGGGCCCCCAAATATATTTTGATTTGTTTAACACTTTTTTGGTTACTACATGATTCCATATGTGTTATTTCATAGTTTTGATGTCTCACTATTATTCTACAATGTAAGAAATAGTAAAAATAAAGAAAAACCCTTGAATGAGTAGGTGTGTCCAAACTTTGGACTGGTACTGTATATATATATATATATATATATATATATATATATATATATATATATATATATATATATATATACCAGTATATATACTGGACACACCTACTCATTCAAGGGTTTTTCTTTATTTTTACTATTTCTTATATATATATATAATACTTTTCAAATACATTATTGGGGTGATGATTTAACCTGTTCTGAATATTGGGGGGGGGACATGTCCCCCCATCCCCTGTGGCAATTTCGCCTATGGTTTGGCATGACAGCAGCACAAACAGAAATATGACAATGACTATAGAAGTTGGCAGGACCACAAACAGATCTGGGACCAGTCCACTCAGACACAGCTATAATCCTATTATAATTGAAATAGATAATATTTCTATGGTTAGTACTGTATATTCAGCAGCATAACTAAAATGCTGCCCCCTTCAGGCCGCACCATGGAACTGCGGCCCACTATCCTGGACGACTTCAGGAGGCTGGTGAGGGAGCAGGGCATGGCTGACGACACAGTCATCATCAAACAGAACAAAGGTACAGGCACACACACGTGAGCAAAACACACACACACATACACACAGGCAGGCACACAGACAGGCGCGTGTGCACACAGACACAAACACACACACACCTGTGACCTCCACTATGTGTCTGAACATCCTTTGACCTTTGAACCCCTGCTGTCTCTCTCAACAGGCGAGTGTATACCAGGAGCAGAGCCTGTAGCAGCAGAGCCTCAGCCTGAGATTACGGCACTGGTACTTCCTGTATTCAATGATTCAAGTTTCAATGTTGAGGTTGTACACCGTATCAGGGACGGAGATTTAATCAAAAGGTGGATTTGGTTAAAGGCATTAAAGAAAGTTAATCAAATTCCAATTACACATTTTCTTCATTGAAGAGCATTGAATATAATTTGAATTGGATTTGGAATTTCAGTATACTTCCTGAATTGACTGGAATTGAAATGGAATTGACCCCAACCCTGCTAACTACTCACCTGTCTGTCTCCAGAGAGCTAAGAGGGACATAGTCCTCCCTGAGCCTGCCCCTGTGGAGGGTTCCGGTATGAGTGATGACACCATGATCTTCAGGAGTGCAGGTGAGAGTACATGATGGGCCTGCTAGCTATGCCATTGACCTCTAAATTTAAGGTTTAGCCTATGCTCCGTGTGGGTCTAGTTAGTGAATCCCTGGAAGCAGATAGAACCAATTATGTATATTACATATACAGTATATTGCATACAGTGACTTACATAATGTATGTCTATGCAGGGATGGGCTGGCCATAGGGTAATTCTAGCTAATTATAATTATTTGGCTAATAATGGGGTCCTCAAGGGAAAAAATGGTCCGTTGTGGGGGCCTCAGTGAAAAAAAATTATCCTGTGTGTTAGAAATGCCAGATTTCTGGTCCCAGTCCGTCCCTGTGTCTATGGCTAGAACACACAATGCACTGCACTTACCAGACTGTCTGACCATCAGTGCTACACTGCTACTGTACATCTCTCCTCAGAGTCCTGTAAGGCGGAACCAGATGCAGGTCCCTGTTTCGGGATGATGCAGCGCTACTTCTACAACTCTACCAGTATGGGCTGTCAGCTGTTCACCTATGGAGGCTGCATGGGCAACCAGAACAACTTTGTGACCGAGAGGGAGTGTCTGCAGAGCTGTCGCACTGAGGGTGAGGGGATAGAGTGTAAAAGAGGTGGTTATTCTGTAGGTGAACCACACTCGTGTGATGGGCAATCTTGTGTAAGACTTCAAGACTTGCGTTAGCTCCCCAGAGCTAATCCCTTGACTTTAGCTCTGTGGGCTAATACAGTCTTGTGGTGCATAGGAGACACAGGCTTGACTTCGAACCTAGTTGGTAATGTGGCAATGCTCAACCCACTTGAAGTTACATTATGATGCTCATGACAGTATTCCATAGGCTATGTGTAAGACTAGATGGTCTCTTATGTGTTTCCTCCTGTCTGGTGAGGTGTGTCTCTCTACAGCTGCCTGCAGACTGCCCATGGATGTTCAACCCTGCACTGGGCAGCCCAAGATCTGGGCCTTTGATCCCAACTCTGGACTCTGTTTGGAATATAAAAAGGACTTCTGCCAGGGCAACAGTAACAAGTTCTACTCCAAGGGGGAGTGTGAGGAGTACTGTGGGGTGATGAAGGATGGTGAGAGAGCGAGAGAGAGAGATCTATATACATACACATATACATACATCAGATAAACATACAGGTATACATTAAACTATGGCAATAACTTTTATCTTATGACTGTGTATTTGTGTTACAGGAGAAACTGAGTTCCTGAAAGCAAACTGAAGGAGATGAGAGGTCATAAGGAAGAATACATCCTAACACAAACACACAGCACAGATCACCGTCTGGGTTAGCCGTCTGACAGACTACCTATATCATTCAATACAGAACACAACACAACACAATAAAATGATGGATTAACCTACTTGGCTTCATGTCTTATGTGAGCTTTGTCTTTTGTTAATGTAAAGCACTTCATGACAACTATTGATGTAAAAAGGGGTTTATTAATACATTTGATTGAGTTTATATGTTGTTAACCACCACTTTGCTTCTCTTGCTTTGAACACCAAGTGCTTGATTCAATCAGTAGCGCTGAAGAACTGCGCTACAGCGCGATAGAAATGTAGGCCTAGATTCAATCAGATTAAGCTTTAACTGGCGATAGCCAACACCGGCATGGCTGATGTTTTGGCTGTGTCTGAGGTGGAACTTCGTTGGAGCTGTCAAATTGGTGAGCAGCTGGCTGCTCTTGTGATCATTGTCACGAAGCCACACCCATCCCACTTGCATTAGAGGTTCAGAGCGAGGAAGTGTATGCTACATAGAAATAATGATGCTCAAATAGAAAATCATTATTCTAAATAATGAGGATTTCTAAAAGCCCAATCGAGGTAATTTCTTATAGGTACAGGACACCCAAGTGTACGCATGCATTTTTTTAGTTATACTACAAAAATGACTCTGCTGACACTGACAAACAGATCAATAAAAACAATGTTGTCTTATTACGAAAAGGAGAGACACAAATACAATATGACGTCCATCTACCCTGGAGGAGGAAATTATTGTCCAAAAACAAACAAAAGTGGCACTGACCGAATGACAAAGACAGTGAATATGCACACTCACTGGGGATATGGCCGATGTTCTCCGCTGGTGCCAGTTGCGATTTTAGCATGTAAATCTTGGTGGGGCAAAAAGAAACATGGCTGACTTGCTTACACAAATGTGGTTTCTACTGACAGTTGAGATGTACAAACTATAGCATAAGGGGACGACGAGCGGATAAGAGGCAATCCGTAATTTCGATTAAGACATTAATGAGCGAGCTAGGACGGACGTAGTCAACATAACTATTTGTTCAGCACTTTTGAAATGTACAGTGACAGAATTCAGAACATGGGCCGTTCTTACAGTATTCTCCCTGTACAGCAAGTCAGAACCGTAGGATAAATAAAGGGGGCATATAAGCAGACAATGACAGCTCTTACAATATTCGAAGATTACATTTCTCTAAAACAGGCTATAGGCTACATGTGCACCACCAAGTCAGAACAGTAGGCGAAATTAATAAGGGGAAAAGGGACCAAATCATTAGGGTGAGGCACATGGGCTGCTAACAGCTTACTACATAACATACACTTAGTATTACTTTCTTAGCTACAGTATACATATCTCCCTGGCATATTACATCATTTATGCAGCAGAATACACATTTTGTCATCAAAGTCTGGCATTCTCTGGATTTATGGTAATTTCAAGCCAACTGGGAACCCTGAAAAAAACAAGGTTGAATCATGATGACGTCAGTGATCTTCAGGTCGAAATTCTAGAAAGAGGCCAGAGTTCCCGACTTGCAGTTCCGAGTTGGATGACTGTTCAAAACATATTTTCCCAGTTGTCTTGAACTCACTGAAGTCAGATTTCCCAGTTCTGAGTTTACAGTTGTTTTGGGAACGGCAGAAGTCATGCTGGATTGACAGCATGGCCAATGTTGAATGTTTGTCCTTTTAAGCTTGGAAAAGAGACCCTTAAACCCAGACTTGGAATAACAAACCCACTCCACTGAATAGCAGGCTAGTGATTGCTTTGCAATGCTTGCAGTTAGCCACTAATTCCTTCCAAACCACTCATTGTTGAATTTCCGATTTCCAACTTGTTGTGTAATGTTTATGTCCAATGGCCGATGAGCACCGATACATTTTCTCTATCATTTCTCTTCATTATTTCTCTTCATATGACAAGGATTAAATATCATTGCCAGTAGATTGTCGACTTGATTCATGATGATGACTGCTAGCTTGCTAGCTAAGATTTTGAAAGTATGATGTTGACATGATCAGTCCAATCAAAGCACTTCTAATGTTGCGACGTGATTGGGTCAGTGTTCTGTCACTCATAGGGACACTACCTCACTGCAAAATCTACGGGGAGAGCTCGAAAATTCAAGCCCCTTGGGTGCTGCCATAGAGTTACATTAGAAGTGCCCATCCAAGAAGGCTCAAGGTCATTGGCCACAGATAAAATGACGTCAAATCACGTTATATCTACAGTAGCTTTGATTGGACTGATCATGTCAACATAAACATCTCAAAATTTCAGCTAGCAAGCTAGCAGTCATTATCATGAATCAAGTCGACAATCTACTGGCAAATCCTTTTCAATCCTTGTCATATGAAGAGAAGTTATAGATAAAACGTATCGGTGCTCATCGGCCATTGGACATAAACATTACACAACAAGTTGGAAATCGCAAATTCAACAATGAGTGGTTTGGAAGGAATCAGTGGCTAACTGCAAGCATTGCAAAGCAATCACTAGCCTGTTATTCAGTGGAGTGGGTGTGTGTTTAAAAGGATAAACATTCAACATTGGCCATGCTGTCAATCCAGCATGACTTCTGCCGCGTTCAAAACAACTGGAAAATCGGAACTGAGAAATCTCAGACTTCAGTGAGTTCAAGACAACTGGGAAAATACGTTTTGAATGGTCATCCAACTCGAAATTTCAAGTCGAGAACTCTGTCCTCTTTCTAGAGCTTTGTCCTGAAGATCACCGACGTGATGATTCGACCTTGTTTTTTTCAGAGTTCCCAGTTGTCTTGAGAGCACCATAAATCCAGAGAATGCCAGACTTTGATGTCAAAGTTTGATGACAAAATTTGCCCACGAAGAACCGCCGCGCCACCTTCCTGTCAAATGAGCACAGCACAACAAGGTGAGTCCAAAAATGTCTTGTATGCTGCTGCATAAATGATGTAATATGCCAGGGAGATATGTATACTGTAGCTAAGAAAGTAATACTAAGTGTATGTTGTGTAGTAAGCTGTTAGTAGCGCATATGCCTCAACCTAATAATTTGGTCCCTTTTCCCCTCATAACTTAGCCTACTGTTCGACTTGGTGGTGCACATGTAGCCTATAGCCTGTTTTAGAGAAATTTAATAATTGAATATTGTAAGAGCTTTCATTGTCTGCTTATATGCCCCCTTTATTTATCCTACGGTTCTGACTTGGTGTACAGGGAGAATACTGTAAGAACGGCCCATGTTCTGAATTCTGTCGCTGTTTCAAAAGTGCTGAACAAATAGTTATATTGACTACGTCCGTCCTAGCTCGCTCATTAATGTCTTAATCGAAATTATGGATTGCCTATTATCCGCTCGTCTACCCCTTTTGCCATAGTTTGTACATCTCAACTGTCAGTAGAAACCACATTTGTGTAAGCAAGTCAGCCATATCAGCTATGTTTTTTTAAAAGGCAGTAAATGAGGCTGAAGGAACTGATTCGCTGCCAGACGAGGCTCCGCTGATAGCCAGGTGTAGCAGTGGTAAGGTTTTGGGACTGCTGTTGGGACAGCTTTATGTAGGCCATAACAGTTTGTGGGCAATTCATGTATTGTTTAGTGCTGTGTTGTGTAGTGGCTTTGCTGGCATGCATCCCACTTATTTTGTTTGTTTGCCCCACCAAGATTTACATGCTAAAATCGCCACTGGGTATTATGCTGGGAGCCACTTGTAGATTTGACAGCTCTAACACAGTTCCACCTCCATCACATTAAAACATCAGCTATGTGGATGTCGGCTAAAGCAGATCTGATTGAATCGGCCTTTAGGCTGGGATTCATTCAATCGCCATAGCAATGTTTATGCAGTCGTTATTTACAATATTCATAACGTGCCCACACACTTCTAATTCTGAAAACATACCTGTGAGGGGGGTCGCCCTGGTAGTAGTTGTATGTTTTTATACAGTACCCTAGAACAGTCTGTGAGTTAATTTGACCATTGGAAAAAGAGCTACTGCGTGAAATACTGCAATGCGGGTTTGATTGAAGGCAAGACTGCATTCACGGTAAACGCTGCATATGTCAGCGCAATCGGAAATTAACTTTAAGGGCTCTATTCGATCCGCATCTTGGAAGTTCAGTTTTACAGCGTGATAGAAATTTAAAGGCAATGTTCAACACTGCATATGTTGGCTCAATCGGAAATTATCGAGCCATTGCAAATCGAGCCCTTGCAAATATTTTACATCCACTGAGCAAATGGCTACAGATTGTAAGGAGGTGTCAAATCTTATACTTCGGTATTGGTCACAAGGCTATTGCAGATTATTCATTGATAGCAAACAACTGACATCTAATATAAAAGTCGATTAAATATTTTATTGTCCCAGTAGGGAAATTCATTGTGCAGTCAAGAGTTTACAAACTATACAGAAACTAAAAAATAATACATGTGGATCATTGTGGTGAAGTCTGAGGTGTGTGAATCAATAATCAGCAGAGGGAGATGTTGCTCCAGTAACAATTACAGCCCTCTAGTACTCCCTCCTAGCCCCAGCCTCAGGCCCTCTCCGCCACCTCTCCTCCCCAGCTCTGCTTTGCTCTGTTTGGCCCAACCAAGGAACGACTGGAGCGGTGCTAGCTTCCTGCTCCTGGTTCCCAGAGTTCCCGTCTGCTCTCTGCACTGCGTTCCGCTGGCCCGTAGAATGCTGGGAATATCCGGAGAGGAAAAGGGAACTGACAGCATCGAGTGACCTTCCGTACAAGGGCACATCACCTGGTCGGACTGAGAGAGATGCCAAATAAATACACCACTGGCCGAGCTAGGGGCTTTTTCACAGACGTGTCTCACACAAATACTAGCACGTACACATGGCTCAGGAGACCATTGCAATTTAACTTTCACATAGAAATAGAATAGAATACACATTTACTCTCAGGCTAGAGACAATGATGCATTCACACAGACGTGCATGCAAACATGCTCTCAGTGCATGTGAACGCACGTGTGTATGTATACATACAGTGCCTTCAGAAAGTATTCACCCCCTTTGACTTTTTCCACATTTTGTTGTGTTACAGCCTGAATTTAAAATGGATTACATTTAGATTGTGTGTCACTTGCCTACACACAAT